CCGCCCGCCCGATTGCGTCGCCTCATGTGTTGCTGCTTTGATTGCTCAACTCCCGGACTGGATTCCTCGTTTCCATAGATGAGATCTTAATTTTTTTGTATTAACGTATCATCAGTTGGCGCAGGAACGTTTGCTGTTTCTTTCAGTAGGAAAATGTCATTGGATAGGACCTGCTTCTAAGATATACTGAGACTGAAAATATTTAAAAAGAACTGTGGCCTTTCGTGAAGTACTTTACTTCGGAAGTTAAGAATCCCTTCGCACGTTCTGTAATAAAGAATAGGCCTTGCGTAACTTTCATCAGACGTTAACTCGCATCGAGGAAACTAAACAAGCCGCAAGGATCGAGAAATAATGTTGACTTATCGAGTCTTGGAAGCAACATAAACTGTATCTCCTGTGGAGAAACGATAACTTGATAGTAGATAAGACTTGAAAAAATTAAAAATAGTTTGGTGCATGGTAACTGAACGAGTGTACAAACAAGTGAATGATGTCTGCCCGTTTTGATGCCAGAAACTTTTACAATCTTTGAAAATTAATAGTGAGACTGAACATTAAGTATCATTCAGGGATGAACGGAAATTGAAATAATTCTTCGAGTTGTTTTATTATTGCAGTATTTTATTATTGGTCAAACGTTTTCAACCTTATGAAAATTTGTATCATTGAAGGGACCTCCAAGATTACCATAGGAGTTATTTTCGAACACTGTTTCACTAGAGTGTCCAGGTATCCTGCAAACTTTCGCTGTGAAAGCAAGTAAGTGTCGAAGTGACACACACACACAAGAGCGAAATTCTTAACTTTTGTGCCTCAGGGAATACTTCCAACGTCCTTGACAGAAAGGATTCCTTCAATTTTAGAACAGAAGAGTCCCGTAGCGTCTACCCGAACCTTTTGTTGTACCAGCAACCCCATTGAAACTCGAAGGGAGCCTCTGGGACCCATGGATGACACCAGACTTCAGCAGCGCTCCTAGCGTTCCTTCTGCGAAGCCTCAACTTGGGCCAGCAGAGGCAGTTGGGCCAACGCAAATACGAGTGCACGTAGAAAGTTCAGGCCTATACGCCGTGTCATCTAATCCCTCTCGCCATCACCCAGCGTCCACCAGTGGAGTCGAGGGCGCATCGCCGGAGCGAGTATGTGAGGCAGCGTCTGTGAGGTGCACTGCCCTGTAGCGCAGTCGGTACATCAGCGTCCTGTCGGTAGATACAGTTGCACCAACGCGTCATAAACATCTGGGTCTGTCAAGTGTCGATCCATCGCGAACGCCGTGTCATCATCACAGGGCCATTGCCCAGCGCCTACCAGCCCACCAGCGGAGGCGACCGCGCGCCGCCGCAGTGAGTGACAGCGTCTGTGAACTGCAGCGCCCTGTAGCGCGGTCTTTACTCTAGCGTCCTGTCGGTAGAGGCAGGTGGACCAACGCGTCATTAACGTCTGGGTCTATAAAGTGTCGAT